TCTCGTCACACAGTCCTCTGTCAATGAAGTACAAGGAAAGTAGCAGAAAAATATGTAACAACTCACCATTTACCATACTATTCATCATATCATTATTGATTTCTGGAGCTTTTTTATTCACCAAAGAAATATCGTTTATTGCTAAAATTTCCCTACAATTTCCCGATTTTCAACTTTTTCAAGAAACTGAAAAAATCGCATCCGAAAATCGCCAGACAGTACTGCATGAAGAAGAAACACAGATAAATGGAATCAAAGCAGGGCCTGGTGAAAATCATGATGATGAAGAGATTGAATTGCCATCAGGCAGCTGTGATTTGTCTAAAGGAAAATGGGTTTTTGATAATCTCACCCGCCCTTTATACAAAGAAGAAGAATGTGGGTTTCTTACGTCACAGTTGACTTGCATCAGAAATGGAAGGCCAGATACGAAGTACCAGAACTGGAGATGGCAGCCCAAAGATTGTTCTTTGCCCAAGTAAGTTTTTATATGGGTGTACACATATTGAGAGATTGAGAGATCTAGTGAGCGAGCGTTTGTTTCTTGAGTCTTGGTATTAATGGGATTTTACTTTTAATCGTTTGATGAGAACGCTTCGGACAGATTGAATTGCTTGTTAATACGTCTAGATAAGTGTACAAAATGCACTAATTATCAAGAAGCAACACAAATTCTTGTATGTTGATTATTGTTAACATATTTAAGTAGAGCGGGGCTTATCCCTAACGGTTATAAACAATCTTGTATTGGATTTGACGAGATTCAAGGCGAGATTGTTGCTCGAAAAACTTAGAGGGAAGAAGCTTTTGTTCGTGGGGGATTCAGTAAACCGAAATCAATGGGAATCCATGGTTTGCCTACTTCAATCAGCCATTCTTCCGGGGAAGAAGAACTGGAAAATGGGAGCCCCACTATCTGTTTTCACTATTCAGGTTTTTCTCTCTACAGCTTCTCATATGTATGCTTTTCAATGGTATGTTACGTAAAATGAATTAGATGGCAAGTGTAACATAAATTTGTAATTTCATAAGAATCATGTGGCTAGAAAATTTATGCGTGTCGGTGGGATCAAACGATCTAGAGACGACTCAGATTCCTTTCGTGTGTGTGAAAATTAAAGTTAAAACTCAAGAGTCTAGGCTTTTGATTTAGTTCGGTGGTGGGCTGGACTTTTTGGCATTTGGTGGACTCCACCTAAAGTCAGGGTGATGTTACAAGTTGATCAATGTATTCATATCGGTGTTCATCGCCTCACATGGTGGACATCGATATGGATACCATATTATATATAAGTAGCATATTCCCTAAATCCTTGTTGAGCTACATTTTAAGTAAAAGAATGCATTTTTGAATAGTGATTGATGGAGAATGTGTGGTTAAAAATTAAGAAAAAAATTTAGGTTTGCGTATAATAATATTTTATTAAAGAATGTGTGATTAAAAATGAGTTTTAAAAAAATATTTTTTTAGAAAATAGGGCTCAAACCAAGGGCTAAAGTTAATGATACAACCAGTCTAAAGGTCGTTTCCGTAAAGTGTTCTCCATTTATCGAATAATGTTATTTAGAATCATTGGTGTTAAACACTAGTCTAGATGTTAGCATGTCATAAGTCTTAACTCTTAATAAATTTGTCATAATTTTTTGCATATAATTGAACATGCAATTTAATGTCACTAGTACACCCGCATAAAGTGGTGCTAAAAATGATTTATTGAATACATATCCCCACCATTCATGTAACAAATAATGTAGTGGCCATTTTTTATTCGAGTAATAATTCATATAGGTGGTCGCATTAATTATTGTATTTACGAAAGTTTTGTTTTTCCTTTTTCCAACTAATACCAATAATGGAAAATATTATTTTTTTGAAATTTTAACTTGTTAATTTCAAATATTAGTCACGTACTCACATGGCGTCATTAATTTGAAGTCCACTCTTTAATTTTTAATTTTTTATCTTTGAATTGAAAAGGCAATGTCTTAAAAACTGTTTTGAGTCAACTAATCCATTTAAACTAAAATTGAGAATCGGCTAATTTTAAGTAAAAGTTGATTATTAAAACTCGAGTTGTCTAGATTTTTTGATTGTACTCTTTGGAAGAAAAGAAATATTTAGACATATATATATCACATTATGCTGATACGGAGCTTGAATGTTTTGTATTGACAAGATTTTTTATTTTATATATTTGATGAAAACTAAATATTTGTCACTTTTCATAGTACATACATACATACATACTTATTTCTTTAATTAATTATTTTTAATCTTCAGTTCAACTTTAATTATTTTCCTTTAACCTTTAAACTCTTTACGTCTTACTCAATGCGGAATTCGTTAACATTGAGAAAAAACATTACTTTCGTATTTTACTCTTGAATAATATACGTAAAATCACTGATGCTTAGCATTAATCTAGGTGGACGGACCCAAATCAGTGCCATAGGCTGATGTAACATTCATAGTGCTACATAGAATTATTATTTACTCATTTACTGGTTTTATATGTATTATAGGATTACAATGCCACAGTAGAGTTTTACTGGTCACCATTTCTAGTGGAATCAAATTCAGATGATCCAAGAAATCACAGCATTGCAAAACGAATTATCAAGCCTGAATCTATTTCCAAGCATGGAATTCACTGGCAACATGCAGATTTTCTTGTCTTCAATTCCTACATATGGTGGATGAACAGTCCCACGATGAAAGTTCTGTAAGTATATCGTCTCGAAGTAGACACAACATTACAAGTTATTCGTAGTATACTATTAACTTTCGCACAAGAAAAAAGGTCAATCAGATGGGTATATTTAATTCATGGTAACTATACTCTGTTCAAGTGTCAATCAGTTAATTGTAATTCTATTTTGTTCAATTGGATAACTATTCTTTAATTTGATTCTATTGGATAAGTCCATCCAATTCTGTCACTTGGATTTAAAAAAATCAACGGCTGGGATGTAAAAAATATGGTCGTCATTTACTTCATTGAAATTGCACTCATTTAACATCATCAACTAATGGCTACGCAATATCTTTTGTTTACTGACTATCATGTTATCAATTTTTGTATTAAAATTTGATATGGTACTTTAATTGAAATCAAATTAAAGTGTATCATTACCTAGTGAAATATGTTGATATATGGTCACGTGATTGACATTGGACTTAGATTATAGTTACCTCGAATAAAATTTACCCCAATCAAACATATGCTAATGTGTCACTTTGAACAGGCAGGGGACATTTGATGAAGGGTCTGTGAAATATGATGAAATTGAACGATCCATAGCATACAAAAGAGTTTTGAGAACATGGGCTCAATGGCTGCAACAAAATGTTGACCTTAATCGTACCTCAGTCTTCTTCACCGGATTGTCACCGGTGCATCAAGAGTAACTCTTGTGAAAACCTCATATTTTGATGTTTAATTTTCATTAGAGTCAACTTCAAATTTATTGAGATTTTTCTTAATGTTACCCGATAGGAGCTCCATTTGGAATGACCGCGATGGGATAGCCTGTGCCGGGGAGAGAACTCCAATTTCGAACTTGTCCATGGTATCAGACATTGGCACAGACCGTCGACTCCTTGATGTTGTGGCGAAAGTGATTAAGACAACGAAAATTCTGGTCAAATTGATTGACATTACGACTCTATCAGAGTATCGAAAAGATGCACATACATCAGTGTATTCCATTCGACAAGGCAAATTGCTTACACCGGAGCAGAAGGCCGACCCTGCTACATATGCTGATTGTCTTCACTGGTGCCTTCCCGGAGTACCTGATACGTGGAATGAGTTCTTGTATGCCCATATAATTTCCACATAGCTTGACATGGAATTTGTTTATTTTATTACATTTGTCTATGTATCTTGGATGATTACATGAATATAAACAGGTCCAGAGTCTACATCTGATGTCCTCAAATTTCTAACCCCCTAGCCCAGATCTTGAGTACGAGACAGAATAGGGATATAAGCAATGAATAGCTCGTCCTGGTTCATAACATAGGCCAATCCGTCCCTGATGTCAAGTCATGCTAAGCAAAAATGTAAGGCTCGATGGCTCATCCAGATCGTGGTGGTGGCTGGAACAAGCTTATGAACATAATACTTAAAGGCAATAAAATAAAATAAAATAAAATCCTGTAGGCCCTTCTGATTCGCCTAGAACGAGCCATGTCAAGTCTGGAAAGTATTCGTTCTTCTCATTGCTTTGGCTTGGGCATTCTATGTTCTTTCCATTGTATATGCATGCTTCTTTTTGCATCAACCTTACCAAAGTACAAAGATATATTTTAAGTCATTTGACATCTTATATTTTGTGCAAAAAATGATGGAACTTCATAGAAAGCTTGATCAGTAAGGCTCCTTGGAAATATATAAAATTGCAAGACTATCATCATGAGCAACTTCAGCACAATAACCGGATGGGCATTATAGAAGGGCCTTTCACTAGAAAAAAGGACTTCAAATAAAAATAAAAAATAAAAAAGAAGAAGAAGAAGAGAGAGAGAGAGAGAGAGAGAGAGAAGAAAAGAATGAGGAAATCGGGTGAGTTGGGTTCATGGCAACTATCCAAGAATTTAAATATGTGAATCGAGGATTTGAACTCTAAAGTTTATCTGATTTTATCAATTGTTAGAATTTTTTCTGTTGTATTTTGATACTCAATAAATCCCCGACAATGATGCTAAGCATGGGAATTTAACTTCACAAGCCTTAGCCAATGATAAATTAATTACCAACAACCAAGTCCAAAGACTCTACCCAACCCACACATATTACCTTTCAGATGGTTTTGATTCTTGGCTTATTTAATTACAACAACTAAGTCCAAATGCTCTACTCGACCCATTTATATTACCTCTTGGGTGGTTTTGACTCTTAGCTCATTTAACCTTGTTATTGGTCCAACTAAAACATGCGTGTGTGTGTGTGTGTGTTATGTATGTATGTTTACTCTAACCGTTTTGTTTGTGATTCGTGTATGAACATAGAAGAAAATCTGGCTGCCACATAGAGAAAAATCGGTTGCTTCATGCTTCCAAACTAGTGGTTTCTTTGTGTCTTCGGTCTCCTCTTTGAGGCTTCCAAAGTATTACTGTTATCTTATCCTTTATGGGTAAGATTGAGAATCAACCAAGGTTAATAAATTGATTGTGATTGAAGCCATTTGGATTGTTTATTTGGTAAAGAAAGGCAACGTAAAATTGAGAACGAAAATTATCAATTTGACAATCTTTGAAGCAAGCTTCTACATTTTCTTCTAAGAAATATTAAATTTTCTAGGGTAATATTAAGGACGACAAGTTACTCTTTATTCTGGTGGCAGAGGTTTTAAACTAGATTAAACTGGTTCTCCACTGTTCACTGAAAAATATCTTCGTACTGGGACCTTTTTTTACTACAAAAAGCAAACACTTTATGTGGATCAAAGGCCATTTACAAGAAACTAAAATTTTTCCTCCCCTTTCCTTCCTTTTCCGTCACTTGTCCTTTCCGTCAAAGAAAAGGCTGAGGAGAAATTTTTGTTTCCAACAGCAAGGTGGCGGTTGGAAGTGGGCATAACCACAATCTCCTCCTTGCGTTTTGAGATCCCAAAGTGTTATTTTCACCTACAAACCCAAAACCCTGATTTTCGTTTCAGCATCACTCCAAACTTCAGCAATAGGATCACGCAAAGACAATCACTAACTTCTTGGTACTTGGTTTCGCTGTCTTCATCTTGTTTCACTGTCTGGTAAACTTTAGGGAATTAGTTGGTGAACAAACAACGAAGTAAAATGTAATAAGAGACGTGATAATGGATTTTTGTTGATAAGGAAGCGTCTAGATTTGTTTCAAAAACATTGACCTTTATGGGTTTTTTAGTGATTTTATTAAACTGCCTGCATATTACACTGCTGGTGTTGTCGTTGCATTTTTTGTAAGTAAATCTTGATTTATGTTATGAAAGGAGAAAAAAAGAAGAGATTATAAGAGTCAAAATTCAAATATGTATTATTAAGGATCAATGCCATATATTTGTAAGGTTCAAAATAAGAGTTATAATTGGAATGAAATAGATGTTCTAAATTAGATATGGCTTATCAATAATTATTTCATTATTTTATAATACTTCTTATTTGATGATTATTTGTACAATAATTATTTTATTGATACTTTGTTTGGCAAAAAAAAAACTCAATGGGACAAAAATGTCAATAACTGAAAAAAGAATATAAATAATTTGGAGTAATAAAATACTAACTTGTTAAAATTTTGTCAAGAAAATTCAGTAGGACAAAATTTGATTGGAGGAAAAAGAGTATAGTTACTCCCCTTGATTTCAATTCTATCAAATTATTCATGTCTCGTACATCAATGTCTTCAATATTACAATTTCTAGTGAAGTATGTCTCATGTTATCTTACATGATCTTCTAGAAAAAACACTGTCTTCATACGAGATATTTATCATCCTTAATAACTGTAGTAATACGATTATTCGAAAAATAGCTCTTGTTAATCTCTTCAAGAATCTTATATAAGAGTATACTTACTGAAGGTAAATACCTTGTAAGTTAATGACATCATTGTACAAAAATATGCTTCATTAAAATCTTACTAGGAAAAATCATATGAAAATTTTCTGATGAAGGAAAAATAATACATTATCCTTTTGAATACATTATAAAAGTTGCCTCATTAAAAACTTTGCCAGGAAAATCCAAAGGGACAAAACATTGGTGAAAAGAAAAGGAGTCATATTTGCTTCCCCTAATAATAATATCACTTGAATTATGCTTAAGCATATTAAATCCTTCAAGAATAGTATTAAATTTATTTGTAAGATAAGTTGATTATAATCACATTTATTATATACATATCAAATTTCAAACATCGTCACTTTAACAAGATAGAGACCTATGATTTTTTTCCATCACATGATAACTTATCTATTTATATAAGTTTTCACGACATTTAGGACCTATTTGGGAGCGATTTTTTCTCCTAAAAAATGATTTTTTTATCGTTATTTCACTATTCCAACTGTCATATTTGACTTCTTCTCTCACAGGTGGACCCCACTTTTCTCCCAACAGTCAAAAAATCAATTCTCAAAATCACTATCAAACAGGCTCTTAGTATGTAAAGAGTCATACATTTCATATTATGACTTTACTTTTTCATTTTCATTTCGCATAAATATACACCTTTAGGTGTTCAGACTGTTGATCTAGAAACTTCAAGTTATTTAGTAAGTTAAATTTTACTAGAATTAGGTTTAGAAATTCAGATTCTCTCTAGTAAGTTCTTTTACTAGGATAGTGTCATTTTATTTGGCCATTAAGTATTTCGACCGATGAATTTATTTCGATACCCTCGATATTCATAATATGACGCAGTACATCACTCGCAAAAGTATTGTCTACAATTTCTTCTTATTGAATCTATTTCTTTCTATAATAACATAGCTTGTTGAGATATTTCAATTTTTAACATATCAAATACTTGAACCTCTTCTAAGGTTTTATAATTTGTTATGTCTAAATACTCATCAAGAGTATATGCCTCCTCAACGAAATTATCATCGTGAATTTCTCAATTTTTATTTGAAGATTTTTTATATTAGAATCGAATATCATCATGTTTTGGGCGTACTATAGATATATCAAATATAATGCCATCAGATTTTCCTCCTATAACATCAATTAGTGTTGGAGCATTTTAAACTAGTGCGTGAGATATTGTTTCTTTTGGATTAGTAATTGTATCTAATTAAATTATCTTTTGAACTTCCAGTTTGAATTCTTTTTGCGAGAATTCAATTAATGATGCTTGTGTATTATTTCCAACTTCTTAATTTCTCCCTCCTAATGCTGAGAGAATTGTCCTATCAAATTGACAATCAGTAAATTGCATTATCAAATAGCACAAACTTAAGACTTTTTTTTTTTTTTACTTTTCATCTCATTGCAAAATGGTAGATTAATTGCACTATCCAAATAATCTGATGAAGAAAGTAGGCTCTAATCATAAGTCAATTGTAACGAAAGGAAATATGATATCGACATGATGCATAATAGCATTCCCACAGAATTGGGAAAAACTTCGCTCTCAATTAATTGGGGGAGTTTAATAAATAATAATGTTAAATTATTTATCGACATCCCGACTAACATTTATTAAAATGTTGAGATCTAGAATCACTAGCATTAACAAGACACTATCTTGATTGTATACTCTGAAAATTGTGCTTATAATTTAAAATTTGAGTGGTAATTTCGTAAACTTCGGGTTGTGAGCACCATGCGATTATCTGGGATATGTATAAATCTATTAGATACAAATAATATTTAGATGATCAACATAGAGGATGATGAGGCCCCATTTATCACCCTAATTAATTTTCAGAAATAGAGAGAATTCAGTCCCTATTTTAGCTAATGATGGTTAATGAAAAATTTTCATGAAGATCAAATATCATATTGGATTGAATTGAAAAATCTTTTGGTTCTTCATTGAATATCCATTTGAATTTTGATTTTGCACCGTTGTTAATCTAGTGATGGTTCAACTAGTCATGCGAATCAAGTAGAACTTTTAATTCAATATAAGATATAATTCAATGATTTAATTTTAAAGAATATGATGAAACATTATATAATTATATAGTGATTAATGTTCACATGACATAAGTCGTATATTTACCTTCAGGGATAAATACGAATTCATAAATTGCACATAATATATTCTTCAAAACATGTGCTATTTAAAGAGCACTTTGTATTTTATTATTACTTCTTTAAGAGCAATATCAATACTCTTGTGAAATATTGGAATCGTAATTTCATGCTCTTCAGGAGCAACAATATATTACTATTTGAAATAATAAAATGTATAAGAATTTTCCTTTTCAGGAGTAAAA